GGGGGCTGGGAGCCAGGACTCCTGGGTTCTCTCCCCGGCTGTATGTGGTGGTGGTCGTGGTGGGTGTTTCTCACCTTCTGGCGGAGGTATCACTTCGTCCAGGAGTTTGGGTTTCGTTCTCTTCCAGATCTTCTTGATGACGGCCCGGAGCTCTTTGTTGGCTTGGTCCAAGTTCCCTGGGGGGTGACATGGGAGGCCCGGCACTGTGAGCTACAGGTCAGAGGCCCCATAGCCTCCTGTGGGGCTGGTTTCCTGGGTGGGACTCCCATGATGCACTTTGGCCGGTGGCAGGACGGTCTCCCTTAGCTCAGAGGGGAGAGCGTGAGGCATCATGGGAGTTGTAGCTGGGTCAGGAGAATGGGGTGGAGGGGTTGGAATGAGGCAAAAAAGAACTACAATTCCCACAATGGCCCTGGACTACCACTCCCATGATGCCTTGCAGTGACTCTCCTAGAGGCTACACCATGGTGCCTCCTGGGAGATGAAGTCCAGCTGGGAGCCCAACTCATAGATAACAGGGACTGAGAGGCACCAAACTACCACTCCCATCATGCCTTGCAGTGACTCTCCACTAGGAGTTCTCAGGTCACATTTTTTGGTGGCCGACTCTTGCCGGTGGCTGCCCTGACATACTAACACGTCCACCGCACCGCACGTTCTTTGTGTAGGGTTCAATGATAACAATAACGTCCAGTTGTCTCTGTCCGTTACTGGCCCCACACGCGATAGAAACCCAAATAAGGTGCTTAAGACTTGCTGGCTAGTAAATCAGTCTGTTTGTTACTATCACTTTTCCCAGCAGACAAGCTGGGGGACAAATGAAGCCCGAGGTGGGGAAGGCGCAGGGCGATGGGGGGCTGGCGGAAGCAGGGGGGGTTAGGGCGATGGGGGGGGACTGAGCCCGGGGCTGGATCCCGAAGCCCGCCCCCGGGAAGGTGGGGAACCAATGGGAGGAGTCGCTGCTTTGCCCCCGCATCACCACCCAGGAGGCTGTGGCCGCAAGAAAAGCCCCTGGTGGCTGCATGGGGCCACAGTGGCTGCATTTGAGAAAGTGGTGCATCATGGGAGATGTAGTCCATCCGGGAACCCTGACTCAGAGAGACCCTGCAATGTGAGGCACCAGAACGACGCCCGTGAAGCCCCTGAACTACAACTCCCATGATGCCCTGCAGGAACTCACCAAGAAAGGCGGCTGTGGTGCATCATGGGAGATGTAGTCCATCCACCCCCTCCCAGCCCATGGAGGAGAATGCGAGAAGGTAGGCAGCTGAACTACAACTCCCATGATGCTCCCCTGCAGCATTTCGTAGCTCAACGGTTCTCCAAAAAAATTATTTTTCCCAGGGGGCTGGGGGGGGGGAATCCCAGTCCCCCCCATCTCCAGTTAACTCTTTGCCCCCCAGCATGTCCAGCCCCCATCGACTCCGGTTGTGTACAGACCCAGAGGTCTATGGATCACGCCACAGCGCTCGCTCGAGCCCTCCCTCCCCGAGCCAGGCCGGGCCCAGAGACACCAGACCCCCACAGTACCCCTGCCCCACACCCCTGGGGTTCACCTTCGGTCTTGATCTTTAGCGAGGTGCGGACCAGGGCAAAGAGGGTGGCGTTAAAGGTGACGGTGCCATCTGCGTTGAGGGGCATGTTCATGGCCACCAGCCTCTGCGGAGAGAGGAAGGATAGAACCCAGGTGTCCGAGCTCCCAGCCAGCCCCCACCACTCTAACCACTAGCCCCCACTCCCCTCCCAGAGCCGAGAGAGAACCCAGGCGTCCTGACCTTACAGGCCACGCGGTGGGGGCAGAGCTTCCCGAAGCCGAGGGGCGGCTGGATCCGGCGTAGCAGAGTCACCACGTCCAAGTGTTTAATGCGGCCCCTGGGGAGAGAAATGGGGTGGGGGGAGCTGTGTGCCACGTGGGGGGCCTGCTGCCCCTGGTGGTGGATGGGGGAGTGGCAAGGGGGGGGATAGAGCTGGGGCTGTGAGTAGGGAGGGGAGCTGTGGGGGGCCTGGGGGAATTGGGGGGGTCCATGGGGAGTTGGGGATGTGGGGGAAACTGGGGGTTGTGGGGGTCCCAGGGGAATTGGAGGTGTGGGGGAACTGGGGGTTGTGGGGGTCTCGGGAATTGGGGGTTGGGGGCAGGGCCGGGTCTAACTTTTTTGCCGCCCCAGTCAAAAAAGAAGAGCGCCGCTCTGCCGTAACACCCTCCACCCCCCCAGCGCTGCGCCGCCGACCCCCTCCCCTGAGCGCCGGGCTGGGCCGCCCAAACCCCCGCCCGCCTCCCCAGTGCCGCGCTACGTCAGGCCGCCCAAACCCCCGCCCGCCTCCCCAGTGCCGCGCTACGTCAGGCCGCCCAAACCCCAAGCACCACGCCGGGCCGGGCTGCCCAAACCCCCGCCCTCCCGAGCACCGCCGAAGCCCCCCCCCCCAGTGCCGCGCCGCCGAAACACCCCCACGCTGCCCGGACAAAACAAACAAAAACAAAAAACCCCTCGAGCGCCCCCCGCCACCCCACCCTCGGCCGCCCCTTCTGAGGTGCCGCCCCAAGCACGTGCTTGGTCGGCTGGTGCCTAGAGCCGGCCCTGGTTGGGGGGTGTCACGGGGTCCCCGGGCGATGCTCCGGAGCTGCTCCCTACGAACCCAGGCAGGACTCTGGGGCAATCTCCTCTCTCGGAGCCGACTGTGTCCAGGGCCATTAGCTCCCACGGTCTTACCCTCCCTGGCCTGG